GTATCGAGGCAATTCGGTCGGTGCCTAAAAAGTATCGAACTCGATACCCAGCCCTAGTTGCCGCGGGTTGTTGTTCATGTCCGCGGGTTGAAGCGACCCCAATAACGTGATATTTAGCCCCTGGAAAGTGAATTTTACTGGAAGATCCCCGCCGAAAAATTTGTATTTTACCCCAGGAATGAGATTTTTACAGGGGAACCCCCCTCGAAACGCGAATGGACTAGTTTTATTGCAAAAACCTGGCAACCCTGTTCATAGGCTCCACCTGCTGTCAGAGAGTGCGTCTCATTCAGACCTGCTGTTTTTGTTTCGTGTAGATGTTTTATGTAGCAAATAAATAAATAACACCAAGTCAGACCATTCTGTTTTTGTTTTAAATCCTGAAATTAATCTAAATCAAATCAAAAACAACTGCCCGTGCAGATCGTGACTAAAATGCAGTGGTTGCCTCTAATTTCAAATGGCTAGATATTTTTGTTTAAAGCCAGTTTGTTTGTTATAAAGCAAATAGCCAATAAATAAATTTGCGTAAATATCGGTATCAGAATCAGCCAATTTGCTAGTAAAAAAAAAAAGAAAGAAAGAAAAGAAAATCTGAATTCTGAATCAGCTATGATCGGAGCATCACTAATTACAATACTAAGTAAAAGGCCTCAAATTTGAAGTACAATCTGGGATGTCTTTTTCTATCAATTCTTCAATAGGTAGATCTTGTCTTTCATAAAGGCCGAGGTCTTGAACTTGCTACTGCCAATGCATACGCCGATACGCTGCTGTGAGTATTTAAGACACACTGTAGCATACACAAGTAGCATATATAATAACCCGTAGCAGATCTATGCAGGTGGAGCTGGGGAAGGTGAAGGGTTTTAGAGTAACTCTGAAAGCGCACAGCAAAATGCTCTAGTGAATGCTAACCAGCCATTTAAATGTAAAGCAGCAAGCTCATTGGCTGTGTATGCAACATGAACCAATCAGCTTGTGCCAAGAAGTTTAACGCTGTGAATATCATCAGTTTACATTAACGACCCATCAATCTGCGCCATCTAGATTTTTATGACAGAACTTGGCATTTGTTTTATTAGAATATAATTAGCAGTTTTTTGTATATGTGTAGATCTCAAGTGTAGAGCGTGATAGAAAGGCCTACAGGATAGTAGAGGAGAAAAGAAGTTTTTGCAGTATAAGACTATTTTTACAAGAGCATTTGCAGTAAAGCTAACTAAAAACATTCAGTGTGGGATCTAGTGCTGGGGAGTAATGGATTGTGAGAGACTTGTAAATCTGTAGGAGAGTGAAATAGAGAGTATTCCTCAATTGCATTTGCAATAATTGCAGCTGTATAATATGTTTTGGTATATGTTTTATAGTTTTCACATGATTTTATGTTATTTTATATCAAGACAAGATCACACTTCTCTGGTTTTTCGTCATTTTGAGTCTGCAAAGCACTCTTTTTCTGATTTTAAATTCCTGGGCATTGAGAGGGTTCTTTTGCATAGGAGAGGTGGTAACCGTGATAGAAAATTGTTACAAAGAGAGGCTTTAACCCCGACTGGATTAAATGAAGAGATGGATCTTGTATGTTTTTTGTAAAGGGAAATTGTTGGCATGACAATTATCCCTCATTTATTAAGATCAGCTGTCAACAATTTGCAATTGTGCCTATATAAGTGTGTTGTTGCTTTTCTTGCCTCATGAGCACTGAAGAAAGCATGGGCTGAAATGTTTGCTCTTTGGTCTGTTTTTAATATTTTGCACTTTTTTCACTTTTGCATATTGATAATAAAAACTACATTTTTGAGAGACCTTTTTTGGTCTGATTGAAAAGAAATTTCAGTGTGCGGACAAAGTCAGCGACATATTATTTTATATAAAATCCCTGTAGCTCAAACAGAAAAGCATGGTGCTGGCAATACCAAAGTCATGACTGTCAAGAGTGAAAAATAAACCAGTACAAGATAAATCACACAAGGGCGATTTAAAGTGCAATAAATAGGGAGGGTAACAAAGAGCACAGGTGGAGCAATTGAACTGACAGAGTGAATGAGCAGGTGGGCTCAAGACACTAGACTAAAAACAAACAGAAGAGCCCATGATAAACAGACACTATGTGCTCAACCAAAAGGAAATATGTCACGATGAAGTATAAGAGCCATGATCCAACACCAGAAAAATGAGACCAGACAGAAAGGACAGGATCCTGACCCTATGCTCCAAGTACAACACCCACAAAACACTCACAGAATCAAAACCAACACAAAACTAAAAGAAAGCATAAACATGTGTGACAGGATACCGACAAAAAAAAAAAAAAAGAAACGAGTGCCAGGATGACACTGACACTGCAAAAATGTTTGTTAAATGCATAAATGTAATATAAACATGTACAATCCAATAAATGTATATTCCAGTGTTTACCTAGACCGAGGACCAGTGTGTCCACTAAAGTTATGTGGATGATCCATTGACCAGTCACTCTTCATGAACACACAGCTGGGTTCAGATGACTCTGGTCTGTGCTTCTGGACTGAACTGAAACAAAACATGAAGGAAAATTAAAATCAGACACTGTGATAATGACTGATTATTAATTAACTCAATATTTATGCTAAATGAAGGATTCACTGTAAGTCATTCTCTGCAAATCAGGACATTTGTTCCTGAAAATTTAAAGGATTTGGGATTGTGGGGCATTTCACTACATCCTCAATAAAAAAATCACTTTTATTTATATCACAAGCTTTATGAAGAAGACCAGTCGCTCTTCATGGACACACAGCTGGGTTCAGATGACTTTAGTCTTTGCATCTGGACTGAACTGAAACAAAACAAGCAGGAAAGTTAGAATCAGACACTGTGATAATGACTGATTATTAATTAACTCAATATTTATGCTAAATGAAGGATTCACTGTAAGTCATTCTCTGGAAATCAGGACATTTGTTCCTGAAAATTTGAGATTGTGGGGCATTTCACTACATCCTCAATAAAAAAATCACTTTTAATTTTATCACAGGCTTTATGAAGAATCAATAATTGTTTATTACAGTGTTTACCTAAACCTATGACCAGTGTGTCCACTAAAGTTACGTGGATGATCCATTGACCAGTCGCTCTTCATGGACACACAGCTGGGTTCAGATGACTCTGGTCTGTGCTTCTGGACTGAACTGAAACAAAACATGAAGGAAAATTTAAATCAGACACTGTGATAATGCCTGACTGTTAATTAACTTAATATTTATGCTAAATGAAGGACATTGTGGGGCATTTCACTACATCCATGATAAAATAATCACTATTAAAGGGATAGTTCACTCATGAAAATTCTGTCATTAATTACTCATCCTCAAGTTGTTCGAACCCCCTCAGACTTTTGTTCATCCTTCGAACACAGTTGAAGGTATTCTGAATGAAATCCGAGAGCTTTCTGTCCCTCTATTGACAGCCTAAGCAACTTTAACTTCAACGGCCCAGAAAGGTACTGAAAACATAATGGAAATAGTCCATGTTACTCCAGTGATTCAACTGTAATTTTCTGAAGCAACGTGAATGCTTTTTGTGCACCAAAAAAAAATAAATAATAACAACTATATTCAACTCTCACAAATAGGGCTGTCACAATTATAAAATTTGGCTGATGATTAATTGTCTGAAAATAGTCACGATTATTGCAATTAATTGTCTGTTTTAGGGCATTGGCGATTATCATGATTAATTGTCTGGTTTTTTTATGGCTTTCATTATATAATTGTGATTATTTAAGGGTTCAGTAAATAA